CTCGGAAAAATAAAAAATTTTTTTTTTGTTGTTTATTATTAGCAATGTTCTTCCGACGTCTGATTTCTTTTTAAAAAATGCGTTTCTAAAGTGCATGAACTCTTGGGATTGACTGTATAGCCAATACATCCTTAACAACGCGTGAGAGTATCTGCTCCAGATGAACTGGAGCGACTCGATCGTGTTTATTATTGCACGTATATTTAATTCTTTCAATTGGAATAGACTGACCGACCTATCAGATATTTCAACGGTCATCTCGATTGACCCTCGGTCAGATAGTTAATATTGTCCCGTGCAGATGGAATTCGTACTAATTCGAGCGGTATTGCTATTTCCTTGTCGAACACCCAGCGTATATTAACGCAAATGTAATCTGATAACCGTTAACAGGAATAATTCCGATTCCTCTTGATCTCCGCGTGCTGAAATCGTTTACAGAATTCCCTGGGCGCGTTACGTCGGAAATCCCTTCACGCTGATCGGATCTGCGAACGCTTTATCTCGTGTATGCTATGCTATTTAATTCCAATACCGGAGAGAGATCGATTGAATTCGACGAAAGAATTTCAATTGTTACGCTGCGGATTTTTATGCAAACTGGAGCATTTAGAAAATTATAATACGTGTATCACTTTATATTCTTGGTTCATATTGAATGGTTCTTTTCAATAAATTCATGAAGCGGGTTACTAAATATAAAGAAAGTTCTTTCCTGCTTCGCGACGATGAATCGTTGCCGTTCAAGTTCACTTGGACGATACGTCACAGCCTAATAAGAAGTCGAAGGCGGCGAGGCTTCGATGTAGGCTAATAAGAGAGGAGCACGCGATCCAAGAAAGAGCCACGGCGTTCCACTCAACGCCTGGGGCCTTTTTTGCTCCTTTTAACCACGGCCCGATCGTAACGAGTAACGACACCACCCACAACCGGAATACAGCCAAAGAATTACGCCAGCCTAGCCTAACGAGACGCGGTAACAAGATCCGGTGTCCACAGAGTTTTCGTTTTATAGCGTCGGTGGAAAATCGAGTTGACCAGCTTTAGGAGGATGTTAACTTGTTAATAATCCGTTAATTCGTATGTAGACGAAAACATTTACATTTCTAATCACAGTTCTCCCGGGCAATAATTCTGGTAAATGTGGGTGAAGGCACCGATACACTTCACCTACATCCTCTGAATATTAAGTTATTCTAATTGAGTCATCATCTGGAGCAGAATATACTCTCGGCTCTCGCGTTGCGGGAAAGAACGACTCAGAATTTCTGCATAAGTTCCCGTTCGCCGTGCCAGATACATGAAAAACCGATGCATTGAAAAAAGGAAACGACTTTTTAATGCTCGCATCGTTGTCGACTGGACAGCGAACGTCCATCAGCCACGAACGTTAGACGGAACCAGCAACCTGAAAAGGAATTACCTAATTGCGGTTGATACTTTCGAAGATAGCGCGAGCAGCTCGAAGATTCAAAGCGACGGACACGAAGTCGAGACCGTTTCTCGCTGTCCGCGATGAAGTAAGATGATCTCGGGTCAGGGCAATCCGGTATTCAACAATAATAATTGTCATTAAACCGCGACTCGTGGATAGAGACTGAACGCCTCGGGACTACTTTTTATATTAATTTTATCGAACACAAAAAGTGCGAGATTAAAAACCAGAAGCTTCGGAGCAGACAGTGACGAATTGAATGAAGAGACTGCATTGTCTACGCGTTAATCAAGAAACGTCCCCGTCGGGCCAGACTCGTATTAATTTTCACTAGTTTCCCGCGGAGAGCCGACTTGCGAAAGTCTGCTTGAGTCATCGACTAATTTGTTTAAACGATTCCGCAACTCGACGGTTTAAAATTCTTCCGCTCGCTGTTTACCTTGCGTTCGGTCATTTTGGCTGCTCGTCGCACGATACAATATCTAAATTGTTATTACTTTCGACTGCCACGTCGCGTTATTTTAAGTCCGCGACGAAATGTTATCGCGCACTTTCGCTAGCTTTTATTTCCAACAGAATGCTTTCTAGCTCGACTATTATACGAGCGGTTCCCACAATCAGAACAAAGGAAGTTTCGGGGACTGCGAGCAAAACAACGCTTAGAACCAGGAGGTCTGATCGTTGCATCGCGACCGAGGCTAGTCTCAAGGAAAAACGAGGAGGAGGAGATCGCGTCATCGATGCTCGACTGTACAATCGTATGCGCAACTTGTTCGTCGCGTTTTACCGTTTCCTTCACGAACACCGTACCATTTTTGCATGCCAGAATTGCGAATCGTCGAGCGCCGGTGGAAATATCCACTACGAAATTCGTATCGTTGTTTACAACGGTAGATAAATTTAATCTATTTCGAGACATGAAGCATAAGCGCTCCCGTGGTAATAAATAAAATATTCTTGTCAATAGCACACAGTTTCAATGTTATTCAAAAATACCTCCTTATCTAAAGCGGTATACTCTCATTAATTCTTGAAACGATAAGCGAAGGCAGTTCTTCAACGCGTATAGAATTAAGCCGTATCGTATTTTAATCTTTCTGCATTGGTAATTCTTATTGATTCACTAATTTAATTAAAGCCGAACCGCTTTCTAAAAATATCATTGATATTTCTGTCGCTTCTGACATTTATCAAGCATCTTGGAAACGAATCGAGAAATAATACAGCGGTCTAAGCTCCAATAATTTGTAGAAGGTCACGATTGAGGTACACGTCGCATCTGACAAACGGAAATCGGAACGAAATCGAAGGAATCGTCGAGGGATAGACTTTCACTGTGGCATCGATCGAACTGTCGTCTGGAGGTTCGATCGCGGAAAATGCGGGCGGCTGACACGAATCCCGAGAGCGCATCGACACCTATTTCATGAACGGTACTGTACCGCGCGTTAACGGTACCGAGCAGTGCTATCCATACGCTGCGCCGCCGGTTCGTTCGTTTGCTCGCCACGTGTTCGATGCGTGTGCGCTCGGTTCGTTAACATAGTTAACGCGCTCGATTATCGATACCGCGGCCTCGAAGGACAAAAAATACGTTCGGTTCGCCTGAGGAAATTTCCTTCCGCGGGTCCAAACGGCAACGCGAAAATTCTTCCAGTTGTAACTGAGAAGTCGCGAGGTTTCAGACTTTTTAGAATTTTAATATCGAGAACGCGAGGAGACGTGACCTCCGACATCGCGGTACATTTTTTTCCAGCCGGTTCATGCGACATTGAACGAGTTACGCCAGCCGGAGGAACTCTTTTGCAATTCAGCTCGATTTAACAAGGGTATAACGTCTACAGCGTCAGCGGCCGCGGTGCAGCTACATTTATATTGCAAAGGAAAGAGGTTAACGAATGCAGAAACCAGATTGTGGTAGCACGATTTCAGCAAGAGCTGCCATATTCGCTATGAGAACGCATTATCTTTCTGCAATTAATTCTAATCTTTCCAGATTAAACGAGAAGCAAAATCAGCGATTATCTGTTGAAACTTCTTGTAAACTCGTTAATCAACGTTAATAACTTACGCGGTTTCGATCGGAAACGGGAAATCATTTCGCGATGACCGATTAAGATTAATAAGAAAAAATACTCAGTCGCTTTCTAATCCTAAAATACGAAGCTGGTTAAAAAATGACAGGAGCGCGACGCGCGTGGAACCTTTCTTTTCGTATACGTCGGGTTATATTGGTCTCCGAATAAACGATTCGAGACCGTTTCAGAAAATAAATTAGAAGAAAAAAAGAGTTTGGTACGCGACACGATTACTGGAGCGGCTATTTTCCAACGCAGCGGGCCACCGTTTTCATTGGGACGCGGCTCGCATTTCGATAAGTGCATTAAAGTTAATTAGAACACAGGAGGCTTGATTTTTATCTCGAGTCTGTTTTTTCGTTGAGCCGCGACTTTCTCGAGATTTGCATATTTACGCGACGCGAAATTAATACTCCAAAGCAAAGATAGTTCCAAACCGCGGTGCAATTAAATGATAATGTCTCTGTGCACGATGACTGAGCGAAAATGTCGAACCGAGGTTTGCGTAAGCGATTGGGAAAAAGTGTTATAAAATTCGTGGCGAGGAATAAAAGTGCGCCGACAGGCCTTCGTTTCTGCCGTTTTAATCGAATTCTTCTTGTTGATACTTTCAATTCGCGCGAGGTTCGAGACGTCTGATCGATTATTGGCCCGCAAGGCGAACTCGATTAACCGAGACGACTGCGAAGGCCGGATTAAAAAAACTCAATCGTCGAAATCAAACACTCTTCGAATCACTTGGCACTCGCTACGTTTGCAAATCGAAAATCTCCGATCTCAAGTCACAGTGGCATTAATGGTAGATTCCAAAAGTTGCCAGACGTCTCTCTCTTAAAACTTGAATATACCTGCTTTGGGTATCTGTGAAACCAACCGATACCTTGGTCCCGACACGAACTCACTAGAATATTCAGGAGCATAATCGATGCACAAATACTGATCGTCGACGGGATTCGCGTTGCGGAATGAAACGTGTTTCGCAGCGTTGTCTTGCAGACGATTTCGCGTCGGGGCGGTGGGACGCTCGTTAAATAATTAGATTTACAGCAGCGGACAGTCCTCCAAATTGATGTCACCGCGCTGCCGACGACGGCCGAAGCCTTATGACGCACGGCCAGCGAATATAATGCGCGTCATTATCGCGGTGCCGTGTCAGCCGCGGCCAATAAACGATGCCCAATTTTCCGCCATCCTCGTTATTAATTCAAACATTTATATTATCAATTTAAATAATCAACAATTGTTTTAACACATCGCCAGCGGCGTTCGTATTTTGTATTTTCTCCGCATTCAATTATCATTTATTTCTCCACGTATTTCGCATTTGTGGTTTTAAATTCTGAGTACCTCGTTGATCGTCGAATAATTACTTTGCGGTCGACCGTTTATTTTTTCTGTTTAAACTTCCTACTTTTGTATTCCTCGTTATTTTTTAATCGTTTCCTAAACGGATATATCGACTGGCAATTCGTTTATTTGTTATCGAATATTCGATCAACTTTTTCTTCGCCGACAAAGCCTAAAAACGACAATCTATACGAACGACCGATGGTTCGATGAACTTCCAGCCGTGTCTTCCTTTTTATCGCCGCTCCAAAACTTTGGTAAAAATGAACAACTCTTCTACTTTGTTTGCCTATATTCCACGTTTATGTATGTTCACATATAGTATATTTCGTGGACGATCATATTTATATACACTCCGTATATTTTTATCGATTACCGACGAGTCGACTTTGGCGAACGTCACCTATCTCACGAGTTTCACTTATTAAATTCCATTTGCATTTATCTCAGAGTTCAGAACCTCTGCACGATCGCTTTCTCGAAATTGAGAGCGCCAAAAAGTTCGCTGCGATTTCACTGAAAATATCCAGTCTGTTTGGGTTCGCGAACACACATGCGTACGAGGAGTATGTTCGCCGTTCTCCAATTGCCAATTACGTAAAGACAATCGTCGCGCCGACAAGTCTGGCTATTGATCATTCCCACTTACGACGGTACGTTTTTTCTGATTTTCCAAACAATCGATCTTCGCTCGAATCGAGCATTCCAGCTACGAGCAATGAACCGCAATTTTCGTAACGCGATCGAAGAAACGGAGTCGACGTGAAAGTCTGAACAACGTCCTTCTCTTTCTTCGTCTCTCTCTCTCTCTCTTTCTCTCTCGCTCTGTAGACCTAGACTCTACTAGTCCATTTGACTTTCCATGGGCGTAACGCGAGAGCAAAACGTTTAATAGACGCGCGTCTATCCTTTGAACTTCGCGTCGAGCTTTCGCTGCATCTTCGATTTCACCAGCCAGCTACCTCTTCGTCGTGATATATCGACGTTTAAAACGGGGATCGGCTCACTTTCCACGCGAGTTTCCAAGGATTTGTAACTCGCCTCGCAGTTCTTTTTAGAGGATTTCGGTCACGATGCGATTTCCGTGGCTTAAGCGCGAATCGTGTCTTTGAAACGAGTATCAGCCGAGGTTGTTGAAATACGAGAGAACGCGTACAATCTCGTGGTATCGATTAAACAGTTCAGTTTTTACGATCGAAAACCAACAGATTCTGACAATCCTTCTGTAATTCATACACTATTCTCGTACTGTTTCTATATTTTTTATCAATTCTACGAACCCTTTATAGTTCGTAACGCCACTAACAATTTTGCACACCGCACGTCCGGAGCCCAGCCCTAGCGCGCGCGACGATTCAAACGCGATTTCCGTTTCGCGCTGTTTTTATCGAAAACCGGAGGCGCCATCGAGAGCGCGCGCAAAGAACGGAGCAACGAGTGTCGCGGTTTCAGGTTGACTGGCGCGACTCGCTCGCGACTCGCTCGATGTTCGCCGCGAAACCCCACCTCGATGGACAACACAGACGTGACGTGGGCTCGTGCCGCTCTACCGACTCTAGTCATGGATCCCCGCTGTTTTTCTTACTTCCACCGATCTTTCCTGACAATCGAGAAACAAGCGTTTAGAGAAAAACCGTCTATCCATGAAATATAAAAACTACCAGAAATAAATGCATTCCGAACACGGCATAAAAGAAACGAACTGTACCGTCTATCGAATAAATTCTAACTTCGATGCATTTGCATAAAAATTGTATAAAAAAAGAACTGTGTAGCCTATTTATAAACGAATTATACTACCTGTACAACGGAGCGTATCTGTTTTGCACAACTGAAGTACTGAAAACGAATGGCGTGTAAAACGGAAGTTGTGGAACCGATAGGAACGTTTCGATGCGTAGTCGACACCGTGTTTCCCATTTGCTTTCGCCGGGCGCGACTTTCACTCATTGTTGAAGCGGCTTCGCGCTCGAATTCGCTTCTGTGGACACCTTGATTCGATCTCGATTCAGCTACCGTCCTCCGCGACGAGGGAGACATCGATCATTCACACGCCGATGCACCGATACCACCGATTATTCGGAACTACCGAGTACCGTTATTCGAACTAAATCATTTACACCTCATTCGTCTCAAACCTGTCCCGCGATCCTAAGATTTCGTGGTACATAAACTAGTCTCGATAGATATAATAAATTTCTAAGTCTTACCCGTGATGAAACAGTAAGAGAAAACTGATGAACATAGCAAGTTTTTATATAAAATAAAACGTTTCTAATAGTAAAGTTTCTCTCTGACAAAAATACGATTCCTTTAAGCTGAAAGACTCGACTTATAGCTGGACAGAATAAATAAAAGATTTGTGTCAGGTCAAGAGATTCTACTCCACGCATAGTAAAGCAAAGGATCGATCGCGAATGTCCTCAAGGGACTTTCCTCGCGAAGTTTGCCGGCGTCGGTCGTGAGTGGAAAATCAAGCGTGCCGACTCGACACGGCACGGTTCTCCGCGTGTCTTTACGTAACAAGTTCTGATTAGCTCGTACCAGGCGGAGACGGTCCGTCGTAACAGAAGAAATGCCAACCATTTCGCAGACCGTCTGGATGCAACAAAGACGAACGATTCGAGGAAAGACAAAAATAAAAGTTCAAAGTTCGGTTCAAAAAGTTTCTTCGTTCTCGACTTGTGCGTCAATGCGGACCTGCCGTTTATGTTATAAAATTGCTCGGAACAAATGAATTTTTGAATGAGCATCGAGACGAAGGGCGAGGCGACGTATGATGAATTACCGTGCACGCGATAAACGTGGCGACTTTCGCTTGGGATTAGAACGTGCCAAGAACTCGGCCTTTGCACGACGACGATTCGCATTAACGGATGAATGGAAAACGGAGCTCGGTTCTATCCTTTCAATTTGCAATGACCCATAAAATTCTTCCACTAGTTGTGTCAATTGGAACGCTTAAGCTTTGCACCAGAAGCTCGATTCCGGCAGAATTTTAAGTTCACTCGATTAAAGGTTTACGTGCAAGGGAGACCAAACTGGATCGATCTCGATCCAGCTAGTGGCGCCGTCTAAAAATCAAAGTGCCGTACGGTCTCTCCGGACGATTTCAGCAAATAAACCAGCCACTCCTTAATTGATCTTGTTAAGCTCGAGAAACCGAGCTAATTTAATTCTTTTCACCGACGCGCTGTCCTCCGTCGTCCGTCGCTCTCGAGATGAATATGCCGCTAACAAACTCGTTAGATGGATTTCTTTATACATTTTCACGGTACGTAAAAACCATAGAAAACGCGTGTGTTACGGATTATGCGATATTTAGCGTAGCCGATGAAGGAGTTTTGAAGATATGTGCCTGCGCGCTTGCTCGTATTTAATTAGCGAAAGAGCAGAGACGAGGAAGTTGGATAGAATCGAGGTCGTGATACACGAGCTGTGAAACGAGGTTTAAGGCGGGAATCGCAGCGACCGTGTCGTCGGTCTGCCCGGCCGTGATAATTGAAAAACCGGTGGATGACAGGGGATGACGAGGGCGAGCTCTTAAAACGACCGCGATATTGCATGCACGCGAGGCGCACTGCGAATCGAACGAGCGAATCAAACATCCCTTGCCATCGTTCTCACATTATAACGATTTCTCCAGTTTTTCATTCCGCGTTGCTCTCTCCTATCCAAGCGATTTCATTCGGAATTCTTTATATAAGAACTTTTCTTTTTTACTGTTTCTTTTATCAGCTTATAGCTGACCGAATTAAAGTCTGAGAGTACGGTGTATACAAATGAAACGTTTCCTTCTGTTACCGCGATTGTCGAGGCGTCGCGTCGGCCAATTTTCCGCGTTGTGCAAATAATAGTTAGACCGGCAAGTGGCACGGGACGTTTAACAGGGACGATAAAAGTAAAACGGTTCTTTCTGCATTTGAAGGAAATTCGTCGTTATCACGCGAACGGCACGCGAACGGAGCGAGCGTCACGTGCGACCGGTGAAAGTTACGCAAACGTGGAAACCCCTAACTAACGACAATAATAATCTTACTATTTCCGTTTCTATTTCTAGCTTTCACTCATTTCGCACGATATTTCCACCATTTTCATTACCAACCTACACTTGTAATCGTTTACTCCTGATCCGTCTGGCTAATATTTCAATATGTAAAATTTGTTGTCAGAGTTTTCTCGATGCTCGAAATTTTCCAGCGTGGCTCGCCGAAGTATTCTGAAAAGTTGGCGCGAAGTCAACTTGGACAATTTTAGCCACGGTTCCAGTTGCCGCTCGCTTCCCTTATTCTCTTTTCATATGAAAATAGAGAGAGCAGCCACGGCGCCGCTGGCTCTTGCTGGTCAACAATCGTATCGGATTTGCATCGAGCGAACGATACTAATCTCCGTCTGAGAATTCAGACTTTCTTGTCGGAGAATTTGAAACGCTCACGATGGGTATTCCCGAACCGAGGAAACGCGAGGGAAAGGAAAAACGAATAAAAACCGACTCCGAGTGAAATGCAAATCGAGACGAGATTAGCGTGCCACGTTATGCATAATACATTTGTTTACCGGACCCTTTGTAGGCCGCTCTTTCCGCCTTCGGCGAAGATACCAAATTCGCGTTACACTAATTTTTTAGAACGACTCCATGCAATTTTCGATGACCGGGAGAAATCCTTTCTCAACCGAAGAGAAAATCGATAGCATAATTATCCGTTTTCTTTTTCCCACGTTACACTATTAATAAGAGGAAGTAAACGATCGACGATCAAATTAATCGATCCCGGAATTAATTATTTTTATCGGATGAAGTTGAACGTTCGAAGGACAGATCGATTGTTGCGTAACGCGAATTAATCATACCGATTCTGGTGTCTCGTGGATTTCACGAAACGTAACATTATAAAACACTTTCTCTTCCCGTTTCAGCGTACCGATTAAAACTGCATCTGGTTCTTTTATCACTCACCTTTCAAGACTTCTTTCACTTGAGAATCTAAACGACGAACAAATAAAACGAAATCTTACAAGTCGCTCTTGAGATTACAGGACTTTCTTATTACGTAACGTATTATTGTGTAACGGAGGATGACACACAACACTATTTACCCGGGCGTCGACGATAAACTCGTTGTAATCTATAATGTAGACCTTGGTACCGATACTATGGTTCTGCCGATAGCAAATAGTCGTAAACGTAAATTGAAAACGATGAACTTGCTGGAATTAAACTAATTGTAATCGCAGAACGGCTGGTTTAATAATGCTCCCATTGAAGCATGACTCGATAAGCGTGTAATAAACCGTGTTCCCACGAACTTAATCGCGTTAACAAGCCTCGATTCGCTTCGGCATCCGTGACAAAAGTTTCCTACTACGATTCCCGGGGAACGAAATAGCCGTGTATCGATAATTGCGCGGTGTAACTCGATCTGGGCCAGACTGACGAACTTTCGAGACAATCGAGCAACTGGGAACAATTTCAAAACCCGATTTAGTCGCGAACGACCAGACAGAAACAATCAATCCGTCTACTTCCTAGACAACGAGCTCGATTTTTCCGATCCTGATGGAAGCGAGCTTCAAGGAATTTCCCGATTAAAGAGATTTAAAGAGGAGAATTACAGACGATACCTTAGACTCGTTGCTTCTATTCTTCCACTGCTGATCTGACACTGACTCACGTCTATGCTTCACGAATGCTGTGCTCATGTGGCACCCCATCGAAGGACGTGTAAACGATCACGCTTCCAATTACGTATGTACGTTTTTTTACACGATTTCGTGTCCCTATCGCCAGAATCACTAACGATTCCGACACAGTATAGGGAGGGAGGATGTCTTGTATACATGTAGAACATGAAATAAATTCTAAGGTTCCATAGAACTCCCATGTCTCTTTTCCAGCACACTACCGATCTATCCGTTACTTGTATCATCTTCCGATCTATCCGACACCTCATTCAACAAGTTGGCAAAATGCCACATAAATACAATTGGACATAGACTTCTCAATGGATACCATAAAGCATAAAGCGATCGTTCCACGAAGATTAGAACGCGCGTTGAGAAAGAGGACTGTCTCACTTTCTGCTCTGTTATACATCTGCGCGTAAAACAACGATTCCCACAAGTGTTTACACGCTCCGGCTTCCGGCAGTCCGTAAAAACTACGCTACCACTGTTCCTATAGTTGTAGCCTGCCATTCCCTATCCGACGACGACTCGCTTCGGAGCACTTGTTTTTCTAATTCAGAGACATAAGAAACTTCTC